TCTAATAGTAATAATAATAGTAATAAATATTTACTACTAATATGTCAAAGTTTGCAGAAAACTAAACTAGTCATTGCTAAAACTTTTTGTTCTTCACTGCATGTTGCCTTTAAATGCATTAAATTTGTTGGAAAATCCCCAGAAGTTGTTATTCGCCAAATAAATCTGTGACTTTGTCACTTTTTATTTACAGTAAATCTTAAAAGGCAAGAAAAGAGAATCATATCAACAGCAGCAGCAGCAGCTCCATCAAATCATTGATTTGCAGCCTTCAGAGAAGCTGCTGAGTGCAGCGGGGCGTCTGGGCAGCTGGAACAAGCTGTCCTGTACCAACATTCATTCAGTCATTACAGAAAAGCATCATTTTAAAACCCAATAATTGCATTTATCTCTAAAATTTCTTCTCCTACATCAGTTTAAACTTTTGTTCCTCAAATTTCAGTTTTCAGTGGAGAAATCACAATGGATTCAAGTTCTGATGCTCAGTTGTTTCTATAAGATGGATCATAAACGTCTCTTCTAAGAAAAGACAAAATCATTTTTTTATTTAGCCATGCTTGAGTCGAACAAAGGTCAAAACCAGAGGTCAACAAAGGTCAAAACCAGAGATGAACAATTCAAAGAGGCGTTTACACTGCAAAAACACACAATCCTACCAAGTGCTTTTCGTAAGATAAAAAAGCATTAATGACTTTTCAAAGGCTTCTGTGGTGGATATTCTCTCACCCAATAGGAAACGATCAAATCCTCGACTTCAGCATCTTTGTGACCAGCAAGCAGACAGAAATTAAAGAGGAGTGGCCCAAGCAAAGGAGGTCGATCATCAGAACCAACTAATAACTGATGAGGTCATCCGGGACATGCTCCTGTAAAACATCTTTTGGTCTTCAGTCAGAGGCTTCTCCAGATTTGTCGGGAGACTGACTGCTACTGGAGATTGTTGGAGGTCGTTGCTGTCCACAGCATCACCAGCTTCAACGTTTCTTTGAAAAAAATGTATTAATAAGTTTCAGCAACACTTAATTTCCCTTTTGGGAAAATGTGTTTGAATTTAATTTTCTGCAACTTTTGTTTACATTTTCTGTCATTTCTTTGATGTCCTGTCGCACCTTTCCTTATATTAATAAAATGTGCCTTTAAAAGTGAGGAAAGCATGGCATTTCACATTTTTAAACAATTTCCAAAAGTTTTTAACTTATGCAGTTAACATTAATAATGAGAAACCCAAGGATTCATGCAGAAATTCCTAAAACGGAGTGGATGATTAGCCTGGATAATGACCTGACGCTACTTAGCCGTGCAGCAGGAGCCAATTCAAACAGGTTTCCTCACCGCTGGCTTATTTAATCTATAATTTATGGGGTCAGCAGGGGAACGGTAATGAGGACATGCAGCAGGCTGTACATATGGAAACGCAGCGTCTAGAAAGCTTTTTCTGCAACTGTTAGCTAAACAGCATCAAGGCGGGATCATCGATCAATAATCTGGATTGATCGATTTTATCATCTTTATCATATTGATAAAAATGATCAACTGAGACACTTAATGCAACTGTATGAACAACTGTAATGATAAAAGTTTCTGTTAAAGTTTTTAGACAGTTTTATAGTGGCCTAGTCAAAGTCTGAACTATGGCTTGACATTAACAAGCTGATTGTATTCAAAAATCTTCAATGTATCTAATTCAATGCAATCTCCACAGAAATGCTGACTCGTGTTCCAGCAAAGTGTTTTTAAAGACACACAGTAGTTTCTACCTTTAATAACTGAAATCATCATTTGGGAATCAGCTCTTCTGTCGACTCAGGTTGAATTTTTATGATTCTAATGAAATGTTGGAAAACCTAATCCAGTTCAGATTTCTCCCAAACAGAAATGCTGCTCGTATGAAACGGCTGTTAAGGCAGCAGAGACGATGTTAGAGTAGGGGATGTGTTTTAATATCTCTCTTCTCTCTCTGCATCAACAAAGCTTCGTCCTCAGCTTCTCCTGGAAATGGGGTCAGAGTTCAAGTATTCACTCAGAAAATGTTGTATGTAGAAAATTAATCTCAGATTTTTCTTCTTGCACGTGTTTGACATTTGGGACTCAGAGACTTCTTTATTTCTTCTAGAAAATTTCTGAAATTTATCTAAAAATTTTTCTTTTCTTTTTTTTATTTTCACCTTTTGAAATTCAGAAACTCTTCATTTCTTCTGTCCATTTTTTTCACTTTGGGTCTGATTATTCAGATTTATTTCTAGAACATCTTTCAGATTATTCTTCTTCCTATAATTTTCTGAGCGAATTCTCAAAATGTCCTCCTCATCTCCCTGCAGTGACCCTCATCTTCTTCTTCCTCCTCCGGTTCCGTTTCCTCAGATCTAATAATGACCTTTGCGCGCGGCGGAGCGCGGCGGAGCGCGGCAGAGCGCGGCGCAGCGCCGCGCGGCTCGGTTCTACGGCAGGACGGGTCGCCATGGCAACGGGCGAGGAGGGGGACAGGACCCATGGCGGCTGACACTCATCCTCCCACTCGCGTGGTGAACGCGGTGCGTGACCTTCATCCCCTGCGCCTGCAGAGGAAGCCGCTTTTCCTGCATCGCGGCTCCGCGTCATGAAATCACCGCAGCCTTGAGTTAAAGCGCCGCTTTCTGCGCGGTAACGCGATCCGAAAGCCACGTGACCTGAGCAGGGCGGGAGCAGAGGTGAGCCGGATGAAATTAAAGTTTATTATTGATCATCGCAGCAGCAAACAGTTACAGGATACAGCAGAGAAACCCAGGAAATGAAAGGTGAACCACAGACAAACTGTTTCTACTATTTCATGCATCTGTGAGTAAATAAAGTGTTAAAAAAAGAGACGTGCAGAGTCCAGCACCACTGATTAGATTTCATATTACAACACCGGTGTGCAGGTTTGTCTCGTCCTTCCTGCACATGTTATTGTCTCTTCTGCACATGCGCACTGTGCAACAAAACATGAATAAATAAAATGCTTAGAAATATTCAGATTGCATCTCATGAATCTGCAGCAAACCACAACATAAGCAGTAAAACGTGGAGAGCTGAAACATTCAGATAATCACATCCTGTTTTCAGGAGGCTGTTCCTGTGTGAGGTGAGTTATTTTCATTACGGGCCTGTTGGTTAGACATGCTGGGTCACAGGAAAGCCACGTTACATTCAGTCCAAACATGAAAATGAAGTTAAAAAAGGCAAAACAATAAAAACTTTTGGTACATAAAGGCATTTTAAGGGCAGCTGAAATTCATCCAAGGCTGAATCTTTGTTATGTTAAATTTGGAAGCAAAAAAATAAAACTAAAAATGTCAAAATTTAAATGTATTTTTCTGCCTTGATGGCACAAAACAAACTGATGGCAACATATCAAACAAAATAAGTTGTTTAAATCCAATTTTTCCCTAAAACAGCAAACAGACAACACACCAGATATTGAAACAAAGATTTAAATAGTGATCGGCACAGCTAGCTCATTTTTCATTTAGCATTTTTGCTAACATTGGAAATGTTTAGCATATATTTTCCCCTTAATCAACATTTTCAAGATAAATTTTAAGGTGCTAAGTTGAGGTACCAATGGATGCAACCATTTCACATCAGTTGGTAGCCACTAGCTAGTGAGCTAACAGCTAGCTAGTGAGCTAACAGCTACCTAGTGAGCTAACAGCTACCTAGTGAGCTAACAGCTAGCTATTGTTCCTTTAGTGCTAACATGGAAAGAAAGTTATCAAAATAAAATTGAAATTAAATTTTTTGCAAATAAAAGTGAGTAATGAATAGAAGCGTTGCATATCGGTTAGTATTGATTAGTTTTCAGCATAATTCTGCTAATATGTAGCTAATTTTTGGTTTGGCTCCAGAAGGTGGATTACAGGTAAATCCAGCAGCTCTAGGAAAGTTTTATTAAAGGGATATAAATTTGGTCAATCCTTAGTTAACCACTTGAGGGCACTCACAAAATATTTTAATGTAATTCCCAGATAGCCAGCTGATCGTTTATTTGACAAAGAAAATAAAACAAGTTGTAAGTATCAGGGAAAAGTAACATCCCCGGTTATGATCCAGCAGGACACTGCGAATTTCTCGCTGATGTATTTGACCTTTGACCCTTTCATAAAAACACATGTAAACATCACAGGACTTGAAATTTAGTTTCCTCATGTTCGCGCCAAACAGCTCAAGTGTTTTTAACAAAATCCCAGCATTCATGTCGACACGAAGCAGCAGCAGTTTAATGTTATGTATTAAAATGAATTAAGTGGAATGTGAATGGGTGTAACATAATTAACTCTAATTAAACAAAACCTGTCTCATTTTACAAAACGTTTGTCAGAAATGTTTACAACTGAATGAGGCTTAAAGATTATTATCATTTAAGCAAATTTTTGCTTTTGTCCAGTGATTTCACATAAATCCTCAGAAATTTTAAATTAAGGAGTCAATTATAGGTCTAAAAAAGTTTTTCTGTTTTATCTCATTAAAAATATGTTTGTCTTCCAGCTGAATTCAGAAGATCATTCAGAAGATAATTAAAGAAAATTACATTAAAAAAATAAGTTTGTCATCTGGTGTGTTGTCTTGCTTATTTTCAATAAAATATTGAGTTGAAAAAATACAAAAACATTTACTTCCTGTATTTATTCACGCTCAACACAGAACCAGGTTTTTGAAAAATACTAAAGCAAATCAAGTGATTCTTCTCTTGGGGAAGAATCACTTCCTGTCATGCGTGAAGAAATCTATAAATAAAAATAAAAATTGCACAATCCTCTATGTTTTGATCAACACTTTCATAAAATAACAGGTTTTAAAAAGATATGATGTTGTTTTTTTTTTTTTTTTTGCTTTGTTCAGATTGGAAACAGAAAACTCACAATATTTTACTTTAATCAAATCCACCCATTTGTTTGTGTTTCTATGGTTCCTGATATACTTAATTAAACCATTAATCAACTGTTAAAATGTGATAATGTAAATATGAGGGTTTATTTGGCTTTTGAGTGCTTCAGTGATTGTAATCAAATAAAGAAATGTTTAAAATGATTCCTCTCTCATCCGGAAAACCAACATTTTAGTGCAACTTTCGAGATGTTTTGTCCTCCGTAGAGCCTCATGTTGTTATGTAAACACAAATACATCATCAATACACAACACAAGTATCAGAAATTTCATCCCCGTCCTCCAGAAACACGAATCCTTAAAAATCCTGGAGCGGCAAAGAGAAGGCAACAAACTGAACAGGAAGTAGAAAAACTACAGCTGAGAATAAAAATAAAAGCACTTCATGGATTTGATTATATACCGGTTACCTTAAATAATGACCGTTAGCCCTTCATGAGTTATGTGTTCATTAACTAATGGAAAATCTGGATTTCTAATGAACATTTTTAGTCTGGATTTTAGCCAATTTGTTTCCTAAATTAAGGAAAACGTTTTTTAAATGGTTTTTTATCTTGATTTCAAGTTAAAGTTAAGAGGGAAAAAAATGAGGCAGTAAGATTGGAGGCGACTTCACACAAAATGAGACGAAAACAAACAGAAAGTTGGTCATTAAACTAGAAACATACAGTTATGGTATCAAGAGGTCATTATCACTTCATCCTCATATTATTACAACAATATTATCAAATTATTCTGACTTTGTTGTCGTATTAATCTGATTTTATTTTCACATTATTTGCATTATTACTCCAGTTTTATTATCATATCTCACAATTGTAGGAGAAAAAAAAATATTTTAATTTTATTTCTGTTATTACAAGAATAAAATTATTATGACCTTATTCTGGTAATTTCATATTTTTTATACGCCATCATAGTTCTAAACATCAAGACTGATTTTTGTTTTAATTTGTTCTTCATAGCATATAAATAATTACCTTTGTTTGTCTTCTCTGAAAGACGAACTTCTAAAATGCTGCTCAGCTTGATTTTCTGTAAACTGGAACCATCTCCTCTGATCTGACTAACCAGACTTCATTCAGAAAGGATTTTCATCCAAATAAACCTTCCTGTTGTTCACTATGAAACAATCAAGATTTTCAGTTTCAGCATTTCTGGAGGACGAGAGACGGGCGATAGATAAATATGTCCCACGGTCACCTAGCTAAGAGTAGAGTGGCTATATGAAGGAGTAAAGCAGGCAAAGCCACGAGCTTGATGCACAAGTAGAATAAATAGAAAACATTCCCTATGTGAGCGCTGTTTGACATTCTCATACGTAGTGCTGGGTGACTTTACATCCATCGCTTTGTAGTCCAGAGGACGGATAGAAAGAAGGGAGGACGAGAGGAGAGCAAACATTTACAAAGAAGTGAGGCCAAGGTAACCCAGGAAGGAGTGTTTGTTGGAGCAGGGCGGAGAGGAGGAGGAGGAGGAGGAAAAGGAGGAAGAGGAGAAATAGGAGCGAGGTTTCAGAGAGATGAGCGTTGTGATGGGGAGCAGAGGAGATAAATCCCTCCACCCTGTGCAGTCGGAGAGCAGCGGCTGCAGCAGAGGAAGAGGAGGAGCAGCGGGGCGAGGAAGAGAGGAGGCGGTGTGCAGCCGCCGGACGTGTTTGCTGGAGCGCTGGCCGTCTCCGTGGGGGGCGTAGGTCCGGTGCGTGTGCACATCGGCGTGAGCGCTGGCGTTAGCGCTGGCGTTAGCGCTGGCGTTAGCGTGCTTCACCTTGCAGTGCAGCCGCAGACTGTCCCGCCGCTTGGCGCTGTAGGGGCAGAGGCCGCAGGTGAACGGCCGCTCGCCCGTGTGGACGCGCACGTGCTCCACCAGCTTGTTGGCCGTCCGCGTCAGGTGGCCGCAGCGGTCGCATCGGTACTGGTTGCCCTGGCGATGACCCTGGAAGTGGGCCAGCAGCTCCGGTTGCCCGGGAAACGACCTCTGGCAGATGCGGCAGCGATGCTCAGAGGTGCTCTGCTCCGGAGGCGTTGCCACGGCGACCGGCAGAGCTCGGCTGGGGGCGGCGGGGAGACGGGCCGGCCGTCTGGACAATGAGAAACATCCTCAGCTGAATGTCAGGAACTCTCAGCGTCTTTATTTAGGATTTGATCTGATTCACACAGAATGAAACATTTCTGGATCCTCACTGGGTTTAGTGTTTTTATGATGGACTGTCTGGTTGCTGAAATGTTATCCATTGATTTATTGATTGATAATATTTTAGAAATAAAATCTCAAAAGTGTGGAGTGCATTTATTTTCAGCCCAACCAACCAGGAAAACCAACTGCCTTCAATTTACAAAAAATTCTAAGTCTATTTGTGGTTTGGGGATTTTTCTGCACTGTAAAAATGCCTTTCTTAAAAAATTTAATTAGTTTAGGAAACAAGATGTTTTTTCCATATTACAAATGAAGAAATCTGAAACTTTTTATCAATATTTAAGAATTATTCACTCAAAACAAGCTCCTATGTCTTGTTAAACAGTTACCTGTAGTTTAGTTTTTTCTGATTTCAAATACTAATGTATTTGCACTAAAAACTGGGTAAAAATACCTGAAGACATTTAGTGTTTTTGGACTGTGGGGATTGTAATTCCAAATTATTTGTGGAAAATTTGACGACTCACACAGTTCTTTGTATCTAAATTATTCTAAAGAAATAATCACAATATTACTTCTGTTACATATACATATTTAAACTTGCTTGTATAATTGCAAACGTTTATCTAAATGATTTATTTAGTCATCATTTTACCCCGAAAATGAAGTTAAAAAATAAAAAAGTAATGACACTCATACCGTTAGTGAGAGTATGTAAACTTCTGACCACAATACTATTCATAATGTCTGTTCCTATAAACACATTTAAAAAAAACATTTAAGCTAAAACCAAACATATTTAGGTAAAACAGTATTGTTGAAAAAATATAAGTACTTATTTATATTAAATGTGTCAAAAATTTGGAACATTTAGATAAAATTTCAAGCAGATGAAATCTAACAGTGAAGAGTTGAAAAACTTCACTGTTACAAAAAACTTGAAAAGTTTTTACTATTTTGATATAAAATGTTTAAACATCTTTGTTTCTGAAAATAAAACTAAAACATAATGAAGAAAACAATTGCAGAAAAGGATAAGAACCACATGAACTGACCTCATTTCTCCCGTCTTGCCGTGTATGTGCGTGTCCACGTGGGCCATCATCTCTGCCTCCTGATTGGTCGAATGGTCGCACCTGCAACAGTGCAGCGAGAAGGAGCTGTGTTCCCATTGGCGGTGCTCCGTCATGTGACTCTTGAAAAGGGCGTGGCCCTCCGTCTCAAAGCCGCACACGTGACACCTAAAACGGACGAAAAGGAAAACGTGTTTATCACCTGAAACAGGCTGTTGCCATGGTAACGGACCCGAGCTCTACGCCCTGAATGTGTTTGTCTTGAGTTAAATCTGTCTGACAGCTGACATCGAGTCTTTTGTCCCAAATCATCGTCCAACTCAGTAATTCTTACTAGTGAGTTCCCCTCTATGCCGATGATATTGTAGTGGGATCATTATTTTAATAAAACGTTTCAGTACCAGCTGGACCTCAATGGAGCCAAGAACTAAATGGGCCCTCGGTCACATAAAGGTGATGTTAATATTGATATTAATTCACAACATATTTCTGTAACATACAAAAGTAAAAAGTAAAACCAGATGTCACTGCTTGTTCTGGACGACTAGGCTGAACACACCAACTGATACTACATGATATAGAAGAAACATTAGTTAATTTAAATACTGTTGTAAAATATTTATTTACTACAGATAGCACTGTGCCATTTAAATATACTATAAAATATAACAGAATTGCTAATAAATATTTTTCTACTGCTGTTATTTCTGTAAATGATGTTAAAAAAATCCACCAAATTTTGTTCTATATTTTTATAATTTGAAATTTATTTTATTGTGTACTTTAAACAAACTCACAAATAAAAGTCTAAAAATTAGAGCAACACTACTTGGCTATGAATGCAGTTTAAATGTATATGTATACTTTTTTAAAAAAAGTTTTTGGCGGTTTTTGCAGGAGATCTGGTGTTTTGTGAAAAGCATTGATCTATTTAATACCATTTTAACCTTCAGATTTAGAATAAATAAATACGTAAACAGGGAAGCTTTTCCATTTACTGGGGGTTTAGCTTCCACTCGCTAATGCTCTTGACTGTTCTGTAGTTTAAGGTTAAAATGTTGACTGGTTTGGATTTTATTAGGGTTGTATTTGATAAATGCATTAACATTTATACTTTGAGATGAAACACAACATATTTTGATTTAATGACCTTCAGTTCAATGCAGTTTTTTACATTCTGATTCAGAGAAATAAAGCCAAATCAAAATGATCAAAACAATATATCGGTTAAAACACTAAAAAATGAAGAATAATGGAACATGTAAACCTAAATTAAATGATTTGTTAATTTAATTCCAGTTATGAAACTGACTAATCTAATTTATTTAGCTTTATTTTGTGATTCCTGAAAGGACAGAATATATGAATTACCTGAAGAAGTAAGAAGAACCCGAGGTTTGATCTCTAACGATGTTGGGTTGCGTTTCTGCAGAGAAAAAGGAAATATGTTTATAATCCTGCGAACAGATTCATGAATGAGTGGATTAATGATGTGAAGTTATTGTTGTCAAACCTGTCGTTGACGAGGTAATTTAACTTCACTTGCATCTTTATTATAAAGCCAAAGGGCAAAGCGTCCATTAATCCATAACACAAACAACAGCAGTGCAGCAGAAGACGGTCATTAAAAACCAATAACTTCACCAATCAGAGGGACAATAAAACCACTGCAAGGGACTGGAGGAACAAATTCCCTTGCAGCTTTTATGACGACGTGTCGGATCAGACGGGAATCTGACGGAGGGTAATTATTAACAAAGTCCCTTGTCTGAACCTGCTCCAGTCGGCACTTTGGATTTCACACATGCAGAAGGCGTGAAAATTATCTGCATGTGAGGCGGGTTCAGTGGGTCAGGCGTTGTTTAAATGCCGACCAGTCAGGAAGATTTGGCACGAAAAGGAGATGCCAGCTAATCGGGGAAATGTGAGAAAACAGAAAACATAACAAAACATGAGAAAACATGAGAAAAAAACAGAAAACATGACAAAACATGAGAAAACGAGAAAAAACAGAAAACATGAGAAAACATTAGAAACATGAGAAAAACAGAAAACATGAGAAAACATGAGAAAACATGAGAAAAAACAGAAAACATGACAAAACATTAGAAACATGAGAAAAAACAGAAAACATAACAAAACATGAGAAAACATGAGAAAAAAACAGAAAACATGACAAAACATGAGAAAACATGAGAAAAACAGAAAACATGAGAAAACGAGAAAAAACAGAAAACCAGAACAAACATAAAACAGAGAAATATGTAAGCAAACTGAGCCTTTAAATGATTCATGGACTTTTGTACAGATGGAAGAAAAACATCAGACAAATTGGTTGGTTATGAAGCCGCTGACACAACATCCATCCATCCATCCATCCATCCATCCATCCATCCATCCATCCATCCATCCATCCATCCATCCATCCATCCATCCATCCATCCATCATCCATCCATCCATCCATCCATCCATCCATCCATCATCCATCCATCCATCATCCATCCATCCATCCCATCCATCCATCCATCCATCATCCAGTTTTGAATTCTCTCTCTCCTTGCTGTTTTCCTTTTCCAGCTGTGTCATGATTCAATTAACACAAAGAACCAAAGACGGTTTGACAGAGAGGAGGAAGGATTTGGGTCCAACAAGGACACATTATCTTAAACATCGATCCCTGAGGATCATCGCTCCGTCTCAAACTCTGCTAATCATGTCTTATAGATTCACCTTTCTTTTTGTTCTCCTGCTTCATAAAACCTGCTGAAATCTCCCACGGTTCCCTTGGTGGACCCGCTTTCACTTTAAATTCACTTCCATCAATATTTCAGCTCTCCATAGCCCTCGTTTCTGGCAGTGTCACTTTTTATTATTCAAAACTAAGGTCAGGAGTGGCAGGTGTGAGACACATCAGTGATGATGTTGACTCCATGTTTAATTAAATGTCTAATTAAAAGAAAACAGAGCCAAGAGACTGTTATCAACAGAGAGAGACCTATGCATCCTGAAGGAAGAACTGACGGTGCTGTGATCTGCATCATTAGTGTGTGTTTGTGTTGCATTTATCAGTGAATATCATCTGCAGAAACAGGAGGGTTATCTCTGTGAGAACAACAAAAGGTCTAACTCGATTCAGTCAGGCTGTTACTAAGCCAAACGTTTTGGTTTTGGTTGTAGTTGGACCCAACATGAGGAAGAGTGGCGAAGTGGCGAATTTTTTAATAATTTAAACATAAAGACCTACAATGATTGTCACGAACAAGAAACCCTTATGAAAGTGACAGAAAAGAGAGATGATATCCAGAGGAAGGAGTGGAGGTTGGGATGGGAAACAGGAGAGCTAATCAGAGGAGATGTGGAGCAGCTGTGGCAGGAAGAGACCAGAGGATGGGCAGCTGTTTTCATGCCTGATCGTCTTGATACTGTTATATGTTCTGGAGATAATAACATTTTGAGAGGATATACTTGCATTAATATGTCATTATATTATATTAGTTAAAAATGGAACAATTTATCATCCAGCAAAATCTGTCATCATAACAGGCTTAATGTCAACACATGCCAGACAATAATATACGCAGAAATTAAACATAAAAACCAGAGATCAACACACTTCTGTCTCAGACATTGTTTCTTCACTAAGTTGAGCCCGTTCTGACAGGATTATTGGGTTTCACCAACAGATTTCAGGTAAACATCAGGATTAGTTTGTGCTAAAGTGAATAACATTCAGAAATGCCAAAAATATCTCCAACTGTTGCTCATTGTGGCTCATTGGTCTGGATTGATGGTATCTCTGAAAGAAATATTGGCCCGGTTCCGTTCGGGTTTGTTCTGCTGGTGAATAAAACAAACCAAAGCAGAGTTTTATTACCAGGTGGAGTTTCTCTGAGGCTGGACTGTGGGGAGGAAGAGACGTGGTCCATGTTGATCTTCAGAGCAGGACTACAAAGACGACAACAGGCAGACAGAGTCAGGCACATAACTGAGATTTATTTATTTATGGTGAGGTTATCTGTAGGAATTATTAATGCAACCTGCTTCTGATGGGTGGAGCCATCCTCTCCACCTGCTGACAGCTGGACTTACTGACCTTCTCTGTTGACAACCAAGAAAAACTTATTTTATAACTCATCAATTAAAATCACGTCACCAGTATTAATATCACAGTTATCCCTGATATTTACTGAGTTATATGTATTTCCTACCATTTCGCCAAAAAAATAAAAACAATGTTGCGTCTCTGATTCAGTTAAACTCCCCACAATCCTTTGCTGCTTCACTCTCACTGTCACATGACCAGCCCCTCCCCCAATGGCAGCAAGATGGAAGCAAATATTGCTTATCAATATCAGATCAATACGCTAAAACATGGACATTCCCAATAGAAAAAGGTAAAACCAACAAATGTAATTTAATCTATTTGTATTTCTCCTAAATTTTGTTCTGATCTCCATTTGGGTCGGTTAAATCTTATGACTCCCGATGGAACCAGAATATTACGGTGATGTGACAGTGAATTTAACCAGCCGTTAAATTCATCAGCTCAACCGCAGTTTGTTGCAGTCAGTAACTGTTTTCTTTCAAGGTTTCCTTTTCAGGGTTGCACTTGAGTTCACATTGACCCCGGAGAATAAAAGTTGCACTATATCTGAAAAAAAGCAACATATTGACCTGAAAACGACCGGTGATTAATTAGCTTACCGGAGAGCTGATGCAGTAGCGTAGAGGCCAGGTTGACGGACATGTCCTGCCACAGGACCGCTCTGAGACACTCGTCCTCCATCTTGGCTCCAAACAGAAAGTGCTCCTCTATTTTCACTCCAGAGAAACCTGAGCGGCCATCTTGGCTCCAGATACAACCCCGTTCTCCAACATGGCCGCTGATGGAAACTGGCTCTCCTTCGTGATGCCACAGAAAAACTTGTTGCTCATCTTAGCTCCACTGAACGGTTTCTCTGAAGTCTTGCTTTGACAGGACGAAAGTCGGCCATCTTGGCTCTGGGATGAAGGAGGTCCTCGACTGCGGTATCAGGAGCTGAACAATCCTCCAGTTTCACCTGAAACTGAAAACCGTTTGATGTGTTCAAGAAGCAGTCTGCTGGGTGAGAGGAAGAAAATCCATCTGCTGCGTTAAGCCCAAAGCTGTACTGGTCCACCATATTGGGTCCAGGGTGCAACTGGTCAGCTGGGTTATTCCTGGTGAGGAACTGGTTTTCTGGCTTCACATTGAAAAGAGGTGGTTCGTCATCCTTAAGGTGGAATGAGTCGTCTCCTTGACGGCCGGCTGACTTGGGGTCATGGCGTCGACCTCCAGAGGCTCCTCTTCCTCTTTGAGCCTCAACATGTGGCCGCTGACATCCTGGCGCTCTGGAACAACATGACAATGTGCTCTTCATTATCTCTGAACATGGTGACGTTTCTCCAACGTTTGTCTGTACCTGCCAGTTTCCTGAGCAGGTCTGAGGCCAGGGTGTCTGAGGTCAGGGTGTCTGTGACGGCGTTTCCCTCCGGGGTGTGGGTCAGCGACGGCGGCTCGGGACTCGCACCGGGACCGTCCGGCGACAGGGCGACGCCGGGTTCGTCCTGCTGCTCCGCCTCCTCCTGGCTCCCAGGATGCATCTGGGCCTTCTGGGTGGCCTCTGAAGGGAGTCACACAGAGTTCAGCTGGCAGGACCGACTTGACCCCTGAAAGGCCAAAGGTCAGCAGAGATCCTGACAATACCATGTCATAACAAGTTGATAGCATCCAGTTTTCTGGGATTTTATTCCTCTTTACCCAAATTATGCTGATTTAATTTGTGGTTCTCATCAGTATTTTACTAGTTTGATATTTTTAAATGCAGCCTTCATTGTCCAACCAGATTGTTATTTAGATGTTAAAGTTTCTACCAATGACCAGCCAAGCAGCTGGTTTATCCTGAGGTAGACTGGAATGTTGGGGGTATACCACCAAATTTTAACCTTTGACCTCTGAAGACTTGTAGTAAATCTTGGTGATGATTGGCTCAACGATTAAAGGCAGAAACAAGGAAAACTTGACATTAGCTTGTGCTGTACAGAAGCCAATCTTTGCTTCCTCTATAATAAGCTGGTTTCCACAGCATGTATTAGTGCATATTAAGGCCTTTGGTGTCCGAACCATTAAGACAGGCAGTTATCAACTGATTAATGATCCATGTATTTGTTTCCATCCACTATCTTTCCACTTTCTATCCAAAAAATGTTAAAAAGTTAAAGTTGTATGAAATGTTATGCAATATTCCAAAGAAATTCAGCAGCTTTCCAAAGCTCAAAGAATCCAAGTTGGCTGTGCAGAGAATACAAATGATCAGACGGCGTTTTTCTGCTGTTTTTAGGGAATGTTTATGGATCCAGGAGGTTTGGGTGAAGAAATAATTTTGGATTATTGTAGGGTTTGGTAATTTAACAGGTTGCCAAATAAATGCTGCTCTGTACCAAAGATTTTTCCTCCAATCCTCTATAAGTATGAACAATTTGCATGTGCTCGATTGGGATGACAGCTTTCTTCGATGGTTGCTGCTGCTTTTCCTGTCTGTCGGATCGTTTTTCAGTTACAGCTGGAATAAATTGGCTGCACTTGGGCCTCAGAGTCAGCAATATTTCATTAAATCAGGTAACTTTTCCCAATTGTTGCTGCTTTACAGCAGACATGTTGACAGGCTGTTTCCCTTTGCCCAGATAGCCCAAATTGTAATGACTTTTAACACTTTCCCTATAATCAGAGCCTTATCTGCTTTCTTTAGAGCATGTGTGTTAAAACTCAGGGCTCAGGGGCCAAATCCAGCCCACTGTCACATTTTATATGGCCCTCTTAATTCTATAAATATAACCTTCAAGATAACAGTTGAGTGCTTAAATACTGTTTTGTCAATGAAGTCATAGCAGTTTTTAATCTGTATTCTGCAAAAATACATCAATCAGTTCCTCCTTTCTTACTTTTACTACACTGTTGCCTTAGTGTCTCTGGATGCAAGCTATAATCTGAGATCGATGTGCTGAATAACAAACAGTCATATTTACTGTCAAACATAAACATACTGCAAATATTTCTAAATTAGATCTTCCTGTTGGGTTTCAACTGCTTCTAAAAACAACCAAAGCGTTTAAAAAATCACCCAGACCCTTTTTGGCAATAAATAAATGTTTCTTGGTGTCTGGAAAATGAGTCATTTCAAAAACCTCCTGATTGTTACATCTCGTTAAACGGGCGCCGTGCTGTTACCTAGCAACCGCAACAAAACTCCACGTGTACCCTAGCAACCCAAGCTGAGCTCCAGCACGTTTGGTCAGCTGGTTTTACTGCTGTACAATGGGCTGAAAAGATTAACTGCGAAACAGCTGAAACACTGATTTCCTTAAAAAAACAACCCACCTGTTTAGAGTTGCTTTTGAACCATAATAAATGGAACATTGAACAACATGTTGATGATTGTGACGATGGTACATGACCAAATTGAATGTGTGTTATTGGTTTTCACCATTGTTGATCATGTTTTGATGAAAAGCATTTTGATCTGCCATGCTGTTGAAATATGCTACAAATAAACTTGATGGGTTGACTGATTACCATCCAGAAACCACTTGCTGCATTGTTGATTGTGTAGAAGGCTCCACTTCTGCTTTTCAAACATGTATGGCTGTATAATTGCACATCTGTTTACACAGCCATTTGTAAATGTTGAGCTGGGGGGGCGTGACCAACACCAGCTTACTCAGATTCAAGGTGACAGAGGCCCTAAAACAACTCATTCTGAAACAAAATCTTACAATGATTTTGTGCAAAAAAATATATATTTTAATGTTTTGCATACATTAAAGCATAATAGCTCACCTTTAACGGGTTTTAAATATACATTCTGGGACATTTGTGACCTTGAAATGTCTCAAAATGACAATAATTGACACTAAAGTCAGTGAAAAAAGGTCAAATCCTGGAGAAGTGAAGTAATGAATCACCATGTAAACTGATGAATCTGTGTGTGTGACTACCTGAAAGCCTGATGAGGAGGTCAGACGCCATCTTGGTGCTGACATCAGGGCTGAACAGAGAGGTGGCTGCTGGGAAGGGACTCGAACCGCGGTGCGCGCGCCACACACACTCATCGACAAAGCCTCATCACTGGAGTGTGTCTTTGTCAGTGCGGGGTGTGTGTGTCGTTTGGCTGCATCAGAGGGAGGCTGCAACAAACTCGACCCACGCTTCATCTCACAAGAGTGTGTGCGTGTGTGTTTGACGGGAAAAAAAAAAATTAAAAAAAGGAAAAATCAAGAGTCAAAACTGAGAGAAAGAGAAGGGCAAGAGAGAAAGAAGAGGAGGAGAAAGAAGAGGAGGAGGAGGAAAGCAGCGCTGCTAAAATAAGAAGGCTAACGTATGGAAGAGAGGAGATCATGGTGGAGAAGAGAGGAGAGGGAGGATTTGCTCTTCGCAGCGAGCTGTTGCTGCCTCTCATTGACCTGAAACACAGAGAAGAAGAGAGACGGAGAGAGGGAGAGCGAGGTGAAGCGGGGAGAGGGAAGAGGAGGAGGAGGAGGAGGAAGAGGGTGAGAAAGTGGAAGAGGAACACGAACAAAGTGAATCTGTGAATGAATCAATTATTAAACAGATAGAGCCTAATAATAATAAGAGGATAAATCTTTCCTGTTACCGCCATGGTAACAAACCCTGCTGTGTCATCTCCCTCCTTGACCTTCCCACCGACAAGCAATCATCAATTACGATCAATAATCGTCACTTCAGCCTGCCACCCTCTGTTAGTCTTGATCTCTTCATGCACTGCCATCCTGCCTCTGTGCTACGAGCTACATGCAGACACTACATGTACATTTAACTAACAAATAGAAAATAGTACTTTAAAAATATTGAAAATATCACATAGCAATCAAACTCTAAATATATCTAAATATAAAAATCTAAATATAATAAGGAATTAGAATAGTTCAACTATTAACTAATTAAACCAATAAGAAGATATATTTCTAAGATAAACAAAAAAATAGGTATATATAAGTAACAGAATAAAATAAATGTAAATTAAAGAGTAGAAATTATGCAAATTTTTAAAAAGTGGTTAAAAAAAGGTACAAAAAATAGAAAAAAATTGTAAATTAAAATTTATTTATTATGTTAAGGTAAAAAATATTAAAACAACATAGATTAAATAAATTATTAAAATTTGATTAATATCTCAATTAGCGGAAATAAATTCAAAGTAATATGAAAGTTATATTTAGAAATAAAAAACTAAGAATATAGTTAAATTCATTATTACAATTATAAACAATGTATTTAAAACATAAAATGATAGTAAATAAGAAATAAGTATTTGTAAATGTGATTTTTAAAAAGAAAACTAATTTTGTAAAATTATAATGAGCATTTGCAAATACTATAATACAAATAAATAAAATTAAAAAAAATCTTTCAAAAAAAAAGCAGATTGTTTTACAAAGTTACATTTATAAAATATAATGCATCTTTTAAAAAAAATGATTTATTCTTAGAGAAGACACAAACATTCACCCCAAACATGTTGCTTTCAGTAAAACATTAAACGAAGCGATTTTGTTCCCGTAATCTGTCAGAATATCGGGAACATGTTGTGTTCCTTCCCTCGACCCCGTTTCCTCCAGCCTCGCGCCCCGTCTCTAGGCGACACCATGCGGGCTGCTGCATCCGGCAGGGGGGCGACGATCCACCGGACACCAGTTTCACCACAACACCCCTCCCCTCCGGTCCCCTCGGTGTCGGTCAGTCGGTCGGTGCCGGAGCCCCCCGGAGCCCCGCTGTGTGTTAGCTGGTCGGTTACCTCTCTCCCTCCGTCTCCCTCCTGCTGCAACATGGCTGAACGGCGCTCGCGCTCCCCGGCACGCCGAGTCAGAAAGTCATCTCGCGGGGCTTCGGGATGCTCGGCTCCGAACCGCTCTAACGGTTTCCGCTCGCGCTGCCTCTCGTTACCGGGAACAGGGGCAGGTGTCAGCGCGCGACCACACACACACACTGTTACACACACACACACACACACCGTCACACACACACTGTTACACACACACTGTTACACACACCGTCACACACACACTGTTACATACACACACACACACCGTCACACACACTCCTCCGCTCCTCTTCCCTCGCCCCCTCCTGCAACATGGCTGAACGGTAACCCGACCTCACAAGACCTCAGAAGTCATTTTCACGGGTCAGTTAGCATCAGCGCCCGGTCATAGCCGGGACCAACCCGCCCCGGGACGAGTCCATCCCCGGCTTTTCCCTCCGTGACTTACCGGTACCATGAGGGCAGATGGTGGCGGCGGCGGTGGTGCAGTCCGGGGCACAGCCTATATATAGACTATAGATCTCATCCATATTAAACCTCCGGTTTTTACTTCTTCTCTTCATCCATCCTCCCGTTGTTACTCCCGTTTCTGCATCCGGTGTTACATAAAGTATTAGGGAGAGAAGCGGAGAAGATCCGTCTCCTCCCGGTTCCTGAGGATGACGGGTCGGTCACCGAGCAGGGCAGATGGAGGTTTCCGCCTCCTCTCTTTCTCTCTCCCTCTCTGAGAGAGTAACACAGAGCAGAAGAAGCAGTGCTTCTTGTACATGTAGTCCTGGGTTCATGCAGTTCCCACCATGAAGAAACCCAGAAAATACCTGAAACCCTGACAGACATGATCATGTAACTCTGCAATGATCGTTCGGGCTGTAAGCTGTTCATTGTGTCCACTTACTTCAAACAAGACAATTTAGAAAAAAAAACAACGTCACTTTCTTTTGATAAAAAGTTTTTGCGCAAAGATAAAAAATCGATGCATTTGGCAGAGTTGCAATGGAAACACTCCCCCCCCACCCAATCATGAGTCACGTGATCAATAGCCGGATGTTACTCCTGGCGAAAACCATGAAGAAATGCAACTGGAAGTAGTCTTTTTTCTGGATAACTAGAGCTTCAATAGAGCTCTTCTGGCACAGTTCATAAAAAGTTGTGTCATCTAAACGGGTTAAATCATAGTTTCTCTGTAAAATGGCAGACTACAATTTCCTCCAAATGCTACATACTTAGCCATTTTCAGGTAGAAAGGGGTTGTCTCTGCAGCGCCTTTAGAAAACCCAGATGTTTCCTCTGATGGCTGATAGATGACATTAGTGGAACAAGAAGTGGTAGTTAGCTAGTGCTAACTAGCTGCTGATAATACCATTGCTAGCTCGTTAATTAGCTTTTGCAGTTGCCATCTGAAATGAGGCTCAGTACATAACTATAAGAACTCTCAGGCACTCTCAGGTTTGGTTGTACGATGTGTGGTTGTGAGCTAAACAATTTTATTCACCAACATTCAAATGTCAGTTCTTCAGAGGCCAAACGTGAGTCTAGAGTAAACAAACATCGTTGATGAGGAAGAAGCAGTGACAATAGTTTGTAGACTATGTTTAACAAAGAATATTAATAAAAATAAAGATGTCTCCAACATCCGCCGGAATTTCTGATGCACCATTCAGTTGACTTGTCTTCAGGATTGGACCGAAATGCCTGAAATAGGATCGTCAACATGGCACTAGTTTGTCTTATGTTTGTCACAAGCAGTGACATTTTCTGTCTCCCAATCAGTGGACTGTGTTGTGTGACACCAGTCAAACCATCCTTCTATGGTACCATACCATTGTCCTTTCAACCTGCAGCTGGAAAGGTCCAGGAATTTTGTGGACCTAGTCAGTTGTGAGGACTATCTTTACAGTAGAACCAGACAATATACTGTACCAAACCACACCGACATGTGCCATATAGTGGAAAAGAGACAGCAGAGTTTATTAGAAGACAATTAGCATCAAAAAGACCAAGGGATACAGGAGAAAGGTAACAAAAAGGTTTGATGTTCACATCCAAATTGACAAGAAGGGAGCATTAATCAGAGAAGACGACACAAGATCCAAAGATCCACAGTTCCAGCCAACAGACTACTGACAGGCCGACTGTTAGCTGTCCACACAACAAGTCTGGCATCAATGGAACAAGGCCATAAATGCACTGATTGTAGCTTTTCACAGTTCGACAAAGTCTAGAAAGTATTGACGCTTGTTGGGAGGTACAGATCTAGAGGAATGAAGCAACACTTAGCTGTACCTTTGACAACTCCAGGATACTCATGTTAAGGCCACATTTGCATAATGTCAAAGTAAGAGCCAATCATGACAAGGTTAAAAAGTTTGAAAGATTCCTTTAGAAAAATGCAAGGAAGATTGGACTGGTTTTCAGCTGGGAAAGCCTTCACCATTCCAGAGTATTGTTCTGTCAAAAAGATGAAGAAGGTTAGTCTGAGTGACAGGAATGTTTTCAGAGGAGAAAAGCTTACTGTTGAGATCCAGAGGGAAGAGCATTAGTAGAGGACAGGCAGGTGAGTTGATATGAAGAGTACTAAACAGCTTTTATTGAAGAAACAAAAGCCCAACAGAGAAATCACAGAGATTGGCTGGAGCAAGGAGAATATGAGTGGGCAAATCTTGGAAGGCTTCAACGGGACAGAGATCCAAGAACAGAACATGCAAACAGTTGCTGAGGAGCTCAACAGCCTAATTACTCTAAACAACAACCTGATGGACGACACAGGCTTCAGCTGGTCGTTATGTACTGGTGGGCCGATCAGATGATGATTAGCATGTGTACCCAATGCCTGAGGGACCCAACAACCATGACCTACTCTGGCCTGACAGGTGACAACAGTGAGCAGAGAACAGGGCGACACCTTGGGTATTACATCATCAACAGTAACGAGTTGCTCCTAAAGAATCAACTGGAGTCCAGGTTCTAGTTGTACCAGTTTCAATTATAGAATTAGAAAATTTGCAATAAATCTGGTGAAAAAAAATAATGAAAACGGACCATGAGGAGTTTGTTTGTTGTTCTGATTACTGTTTCTTGTTAATCCCCCTGATAAGGGCCTGATCAGGGGGATTGAACTATTTCTAAGGCTTTTGGATGCGACTATCACAATGTTCCTTCCCAGGAGGGGCTGGACTACGAACTATCTTCAAGAATGCATTGACGGCTCATCCGAAAGGTCACTAAGAACCCAAAACTACTTATTTGCCTCAGTTAAGGACAGAAAGAAAGAGACACTGGCAGAAATGGAAGAGTCCTGGTCAAAAAACCACTGCTCACCAAAACAAAAAACACAAAGTCTCGTCTCACGTTTTGCTAAAAAAAAAACGTCTTGATTTTTCCAAACGTTTGGACTGATGAGACAAGAATGGACCATTTTGGAAAGTGTTTGTCTCATTACCTAAATTAAAGCCTTTAAGAAACAAACCACCTCAGTGACAGTCAAACATGGAGGTGATAAATTAAAACAATTCTGCAAAGAAGAGATCACTAAATTTCCTTCATAAAGATGCACATGTTAGTTGTTGCTGCCACAACCATGGAATAACCATGGAATCATTTTAATAAATGAAAGTATCATTTAAAAAGTTAATTTTCTTAATTTTAATCAGGTTATTTCTGATTGCGGTTCACCCACAGACGTATAGAAAGGTGCAGTTCTTTGTTACAGCCAGCAGAGGGAGACAGAGTCAGCCATTTATGCAAAGACCTTTCACTACAAGAAGCATCAGTAAAAAGAGAAAAAGTGTAAAAAAAAAATAAAAAAAGTTTGAAGGAAT